TCTATGAAAGGCGCTTTATAAATAAACTTTACTTACTAAATGTGCATCCTTCTTTCTACACAACCGTTGGGCTGTTTAGGGTTTAAATGCTTTATCCGAAAGAAAAAAATGATCCAAACTCCGACAGACACACCTGTGTAGCTGACAGAAAGGTTTCCAAGACGTTAAGGTGATTAAAATCAAAGCAGAAGCTCGCCAACTAACACTTTCACCTCCTTCGTGTTCAGACTAGAAATGGAAAAAAAAGGTGGAGGTGACTCTGATGCAGCTCAGCCTTAACATGTGTGAAGTTCAGAAAATAGAATTCTGAATACTAAAACACGTTTACTAAAAAAACGTGAAACGCCTAAAATTTAATGGAGYAACGTGTTTAAACAAGTCCGATTCACAGTAAATGGCCTTTGGCTGGTTCTAAAACTGCTGTTCCTCCAGATATACTATTTTATTTAATGTGTTTTACCAGGCTAAACCTGTCAAAATGACAGCAAAATGGAATYAGGCTCCTTGTAAATGGCAACCGTTCTTGGCAGCTCCACGTTCAGTATCCTTTATCCAATCCTGTCCCTTCTCTAACTACAGTCTGCTCTCTCTCCTCAGAGCATACCTCCACCTCACCAGGCTCTCTTCCGCCTGCTCCCTGCTCTCTGCAGATCATGACATCATCTGCTAAGATCATAGTCCACAGCACCCTAAGCACGTTCACAAAACAGAATCGGGGGCTGAAGCCACCCCTGATGCACCAGTGTGCCACCAAGCAAGGCAGTCCAAGAGCCATAATGGTTGTCATTCACAAAATGAAAAAGTAAGCCAGATTTACAGCTGAATAGCGTGACGTGGCAATGATATACAATCTGTAACTACCTGCTGCAGGATTTTAACAAATAGATTATTTTTCCTTAAGAAGATAGAATTTCACATGTTCAAACACTTGTAATGTAAAAGTTTGCACAGTAAATTCTTCTAAACAATTTTAAATGCATTTTTACTGTACAAAAAATATTCGCAAATACACAGCATGTGAGAAAATCCAGCCATCATTTGTCAGTTGACTTTTTTCTGCAGGATTGTTTCAATCTTCGTAAGAAGAGAAGAAGACTTCTTCTAAGCTTCTTGCTGGACTTTCCTGTTTTACTCATTAGCACCACCAGTGTTTAAACGAGGAACTGCACCCACTATCATCGCTCTTGGGCAAAGGACAGATGAGTGACAGGACAGGCATACATGTTAACCTCTTCGGACGTTTACCTGTATAAATRGCCTCAAAAATCCGTAAATTTAGCAAAAAATCCATACAACTCGCAAACAACTTGGTGGGGTGGGTGCTGCAAACCAGAAAGGAGAGCGGAAAAGTTTCAAAACTTATTTCTAGCAGCAGAACAGGTTGGAAGATGGCTGTTTGATGTTGTTTATTGTTTTTTAATTCATTCTACAGGCTCTGACATGTTAGATAAATTTGAAAATGAGGTTTTGAAAAAATCCGTAAGACTTGGAAAAATCTGTGAGATTGTTCTATACGTCCGTATACCTGCAAAATGATGTAAAATCCTTATAACTGACGGACAAAGTACAATTCAAGGGACCAATCAGATTTCAGCTGGGATCAATGCCCCTTTGGCCCCGCCCCTAGAACTGCCCCTGCAACCTCAAAAGGTAGAAGGATGCAGGTTCGACCCCCACCGTGGCCCTTTCAGTGTATAGTTTTCCTGTTTTCCCGATGGATGGATGGATGGATGGATGGATGGATGGATGGATGGATGGATGGATGGATGGATGGATTCAGGTTAGAGTTGATTTGGTCACAAACTAAATCCTTCAGTTTATTAAAGCTGCACTAAGCCTGTGTCACCACAGGGATCCATGCCACATGTTAAAGAATCCAGAGAAGTTTATCAAATAAAAAAATGAACCATTTCAGAAAGAAAATAAACATTTTGTTGAATAACATTTGTTTCTAAAAGGATTTTTTTGATATAAAATAATACATTTTAGATTTCTTCTGATTTCCTGCTAATCTGGATGTAATCTTTCAGGAATGGGTTTAAGAGGGTTGCCTCTAAATTCCTCATAAAATAAAAATAATAAACGATACAGATTAGTTTTTTCTGTGTGCAGTCTGAGCTCCACATCTGCTTCACCTTTCCTGCCGCACACATTTCTTTGTGCATGTAAGAGTGTGGCACTCGTGCAGACAGACAGAGGAGGAGAAACGCTGCAGAGCTTGTCACTGCTTGCTCTCACCACCTTCTTGGCAACAGATTCAGAACTCCTTCTCTTAAGAAGGCAGGTGACAAGATGCTGACTGAGCTACGGTAGCAGCTGATGACTGAAGCTGCTTTGTCAGGCAGATAAAAACAGATTTTCAGTTCTGAGAACTTCATAAATTAAAACAAGATAAAATAGGATTTTTACCAGGTCGGGTGGGGGGATTATGCATTTTCCAGTCACATAGTTAAATTATGAAACAGATATATACAGTATATACTGTAC